CATTGTCAAACTTTTAGGCTTACGGGAAAGCGGCGCCGAACGTCACACGTACACGTTTACACGTTTAAAACGTGCGCCTGAACCTCTCTATTATATAAACGGTAACGACGAACAAATCAAAATTTAGGTTTGAAATATACAATCGTTCAATCGATCGTAACACGAGAATATTGCATTTTCATCTTGTGAGTAGTTTTTATAATTTTTTTAAAGACACGCGTAACACCTTATGTTAGATTTTAACAATCTAAGGAACGTTGAATTAAAATTTCTAATTACTTTTCTATGAAATTACCTAAGTGTAACGAAATAATGGAAAATTTTTTGGCAAGAATTGAAGCCCAAAAAGAGTATAGAAGAAAAAGAGACAATATAAACGCACATACAGAGATATGTTTGAAATGCGTTTTATCTTCGTTTACGTCTATAGCAAAAGTTTACGGATATACGTTTTTCGATCCTTGTTTCTGCCACAACAAAAATGATGTTAACGTTTACTCAATTGTAACAACATTTTATTCATTTTTCATCGAATGTTTCTACTGGATACATTTTTTTTGGTGTTTTCTATGACAATACCGGTTTTGTCAGAGATGATTCCTTGTCAGACGTGGCACTTACTAATGAAGAACGACGTCATCTTTTTCAAAATGTTTATGCCATTTTAGTTTTAACTTTCGCACTCACTTTCAGTATTATAAAAAGAGTAAAATTAACCACAAATATTAAATTGACAAAGCAAGAATATTTCTGTCGAAAAGACTTGTACAAATTGATTAATTATAGTAGAATTATCGTTTCTGTTTTCGTTGTAAGTGGTATTATTTGTTGACAAGCATTGAACATTTTTTATATATATCCTGCTGTAGAAGAAAGTCTTACGAGCACGAAGCACTGTTTTGCAGCGTAGAATTTGGCATTTACAGTATATTAATTTAATTGTGGGTGGAAATTCTATCAAATTTTTTTCTTAGTTTTGCTAGTAATCATCTTAATGAAGATTTTCCAGAAGCTATCGAAAGATCTGCAACTAATAAAAGTGAATCATCCGAATTTGGAAACGGAATTAAAAGTTATTATGACACAACACAATGAACTTTGGGACAATGTGAAACAATTGAATGTGAAACAATTGAATAGTCCATTTAATTATGTTTTGATAATTTTGTACGGTTCACTATTAATGGAAAGCAGTTTACTTTTTCATGTTAATATTTTCTCGAAATTGAAATTTGCATTTAGAGTTTTCATTTGCATAATTAGTCCTGCAGTATCATTTACTTGTATTTTAGTAGGATTTTCAGCATCCGCTTTTACATCTAATGTAATTTATGTATTGTATTTATTACGCTATTCCATGATTTATTCATTTCTAACATGTTTTTCTTATCTCTATACATGCAAACATAGTTTCAAGACATTCGAAGATTCGCTCAATACCATCTGAAATTGGAACAGAAATTGAAAGTAAAACTTCTATTATAAAATAAGTTCGAATTAATTTTTATTTTGCACAAAATGATTTTACAAATTTTGTACAGATTGTGAATTTTATGAAAAGATTTAAGAAGGCATCTTTATGTTTATCTGCCAACGGTTTCTTCGATGTTACCATGAAGTGTTTAGTCAAGGTATGCAAAGTGTATAGGCATTCAATATGTTGTTGCATTATATATATAAATTTGAATTTACAGATGTCCAGCGCTCTCTATTCTGTGTTTTCGAATCTGTTAAATTTGAGGACCGTTTCCACGAAGAAATACTGCTCTTACTGAGATATGAACCTAAGAATCTATCCTTTGAATATAATTTCACCTGATAACGTTTCAATTAATAAATCTTAATTAATTCCTCTATATATGATTATTTAGATACACTGTTATCGTTTCTTGACATATTATTGTCGATTTGTGATAGATTGCATTGTTAAAATTAGAATGAATGTTTAGAATAATATTTTATTTAAATTTTTATAAATTGCTTAAATAAATGTAAACGTATTATCGAATGTAATATTTTAAATAAAATTAAATTCTTTAAAGTAGTAGTAATTTATAAAAGTAAAGATATTTACTTATTGCGATAACAACCTAAAGATAATATTAAGCGTACGAAATAAGCGATCGAGGTGTCGTCCATAAATTACGGCTGTTTCTTATACTTTGAAACTGCTAACAACACCTGAAACGTTTCGAAAAGCTATAGGATATTGCTACCGACATCATCACTAAGCAGGGCTGCAATTTTTTGTCACAATGTCCGCAATTCTTATAGCTGCGTGTTTTCCCATGTACATCATACTTTTCCTGTTAGCGAGTGAGTCAAGTCGGTTATGTACCTAAGTCTTTTTTGGGGAAAGTTTGAATTGAAACATATAGTTAACCCGGGCTTTATGCGCAAAGGCTTTCCATACATGGTTTCGACGTCTAACGTTCTAACTCGTTTCTACAAATTAAGGAAGAACAGACAGGCAACAGACAGAGGATGACAGTTGGATTTATAGGCTACAGTTTGTTTTAAAATTGCGAGAATTCGAAAATTTTATATACACGCGATATTTGAGAGAACATATTGTCATATATTTGACACAATCTGTTGCAAAAACATAAACACTTTATTATTACATAAAGGCATCTATTCTTGCATTATTACAAGATTTTTTGTATTTAAACAAATCATACGAAGTCCTTCGTACGTTAACGTGCACAACTTCGATCACTTGCGAGGCCATTTTAAATTAATCAAGTACTGTATGACGATTCAGTTTTGTTAAAATCCGGAATATCACAATTGCATTTCTAATCGAAATGAAATAGCAATTCCATTTGAAATCTAAAAATAAAAAAAACTATTCAGTTTTCATTTTTATAAAATTATAATTAGTAAAGTATATTTTCGTTTTACATAATATTAAAATTTAATAATATAAATTATTCAGAAATGTCAGCTGTATTCCAGTTTGATAAAATTTGATGTATTGTATTAAATTCACAGAAAATTTTAATTTAAATCATTATAAATTCATATTTATCATCAGATTATCTTGCTCTCACTCGCAAAATTGAAATTGTCTCTGTATAAAGTTTTCTCAAAATATTAATATTACTGTTTAAATACAACATTATAATTCATAATTTAACTATATACATGAATTTATAGATTCTTAAACTTAAACTTATTTATCTCTGTTTTCAATCATTTTTATTACAGTAGTACAATTCAGAATTTAAATTTTAAAATAAATATATTAAATTCAAATATACGTGGAACAGTATTAAGTATCGATTTCATTCCATTTTTCGTTATTAAATATGAATTTATTTCCTACACTGATCGCTAAATGCATGAAATATGATATATTGACGTAAGCCAATACCGAAAATTACACTTACATTTAATCGTATTGATGTTAAATATTTAACGATTTTTTAAAATCTTATTCGTTACGTGTTACACAACAATTATTATTTCGTATTCTTAATTAATTAGAAATATATTGAAATTGTAAATAATAATAATATGTTAGTTCATACGTGTATTGATATAATAGGTATTAATACCTTAAAGGGCAAAAATATTAAAAAAATATCAATCAAATTTAGATTGAAGACAACACTCATCAAATTATTCCTTTCTAATATATATGAACTATTGCTATAAAAATATAAAATATATTAACTCTTATTGTATCTCTACGTCAATGATTTCTGATTATCATATATTTTAATAAATTACTGTTGTTAATGAGGCCTATTATGTACTTTTGAAATAATGTTGTTGGATCTCATGCCAGCTCTGAACAATCAATACCATTAACGATAATTGTCTGTTAATTGTAAACATAATCGCAATTGACACAATTCATTTATTAGCAATAGGATACCACAGTTTAAAAAATCGATCAATCAAGAAGTTTGAGCCGAATGCTTATATTGAAATTAATTCTGGTCCTCGTTGTCTTAATCTAATGAGTAATAGTCACAATATTAAAAAAAAAAAACGTTCCGAAAGGCCGTCGGGTAACATTCTAAACTGCGATTTACCTGCACTGTCGACGATTCAGATTCGAATTCAAGCAAACAAGTTTAGCAATATTTATGATGTCATCTGTACCGTTCTTTGTCAAGTTCAATTTCTCATCAACATGTTTACTCTTATTGTGTGCATGGCTAAACTGACGGTCGGCTCAATTAAAAACGACTGTGTAGTTACCGACAAAAAAGAAAATAAAAAAAGCCGTTATAATACTTATGTTTAATAATAATGTGTCTGGTTTCTATATAAAATAAAGTAATTACATTTTATTAGATATATTTATATATACACAATCAGTTCTTTTGTTCTGTGAACTGTGAAGGTCTTCTTCCACTCCCAATATATCGGTGTCCTTTTGGGTAAAACCACTGATCACTGCAGAATCGGATCTACATTGGGACTAATAGGTTAAATCGATTTAATACTAAATAGGTTTAGGTATGCGTAACTTTGCGGTTCTCGAGACAGAGAGAGAGTTTACAGTAGTTCGCGAGTTGATAAATGCCTGAAGTAGGTGATGCACACGAGATGATAATAGATTTATTACAATTTTCGTCTAGACTAGCAGTCCGTTGTAAATCTACAGGGTTTGCGGAAAGTTCCGGATCGGGAAAGCCTGGGGCACGATAGTCTGGAAAAGTTCGTCCTCACCGGCACCGTTGGTCGATGGTGAAATCAGATCGAGGAAAATTTGGCACAGGAGGAGAAAATGTGTTGGAAACTTTAATCCATGAGAAACAGGCGACGACTTACATTTTCGGCTATTAAATCCGATATCAGTGCGACATAGCCAGACTAAGAGGTCAGCAGATCACGGGAATGCGTCACTTTCGCCGGCGAAAAAGTGTAAAGAAGAGATTTTCTCTGGTAGCTGAAAACAACAATTGTTGAGCAAGTATGACGACACCGATAATTGGTTTTTATTAAAATTCGGAGTATCACAATTGCATTTCTAATCAAACTGAAATAGAAATTCCATTTGGAATCTAAAACTAAAAAATCATTTAATTTTACTTCATATAAAATTGTAATTGAAAAAGAGTATTTGCGTTTTACATAATATTAAATTTAAATTAATGATATAAATTATTCAGAAAAGTAAGCTATATACTAGTTTAATAGAATTTGATGTATTGTATTAAATTGACAGAAGAATTTAATTTAAAGCATTATAAATTCGTATTTATCATCAGATCATCTTGCTCTCACTCACAAAATTGAAATTGTCTCTGTATAATGTTTTCACAAAATATTAATATAACTGTTTAAATATGGCATTGAAATGCGTAATTTAACTATATACATGAATTTATAGATTCTTAAAGTTAAACTTATTTACTTCTGTTTTCAATAATTTTAATCACAGTAGTATAAATCGGCATTTAAATTTTAAAATAAATATATTAAATTCAAACGTAAGTAAAACGGAATAAAATATCAATTTCTTCAGATTCTTCGTCATTAAATAAGAATTTATGAAATATGATCGATAAATGCATGAAACATGATATATTGACGTAAGTCAATAAAGAATTAGATTTAAATTTAATCGTATTGCTCTTTAATATTTAACGATTTTACATAATCTTGTACATTACACTTATATGATTTCTGATTATCAAATACATTCTGTAAAACATCATA